GAAAGATATCATGATACATCAATTAGTTTAATTAGTTATGTAGTAATTCTCACACAGTGTGTACTGCTTGCTTATAAAAACGTTAGCTGAAATTTTGAATCATAATTAAACCTACTCAGTGCCATACATCAAATCACACCCACTTTTACCTGTAAATGGGATAGTTATTTTGTAAAATAATCGTTGTGAATCCAAATGACGCCCCTTTTTTCTTCCAAATCCTAATGTACTGTGCCCATGCATCATTGCATAATGACGTACAGCAGTTAAACCCCAGGCAGTCTTGGGGTAGTGATATGCAATTAAGTAGTAGTGTTAAGCAATTAAGTACATTGGATGTGCTACTTCTAACTTCCTACTTATATATTATATAATCTCCCTTGGGCTTTTTTTCCAGCTGCATTGCACACTTTATACAATGATAAATCGCTTACAAATACATAGATACATGTAATATTAATATTGACCAGAAGATGTCACTGTTTCAACACAGACAGAAAGCAAAACAAAAACTGCAATCTTATGTCACTATTTGTTTTTTTTAAATCAAGTTGTACACTACAGTGCAAAATGTACATGGTTGCCTCTTTTAATTAACTGAGTCAACTGTTTCAGCTCTACATCTTTCTGATAGATGTATAAAATCAAGCACATAGCCATGGAATCTCCAAAGACAAACATAGACAGTAACATAGCCTGTGCTATGGGTTTGTGGGGATGAGAATGTGTATGTAGCTAGTGGAGTGGGGCCAGCAAATTATTGGTGTATTTGGCCATGATCAATTGAGGGCTACTGTCACAGGACTGATGAAGTGGAGGATGTTTGGTAGTGACAGAGATGAGGATCAGCTGAGAGCAAAAGAGGGATGTAAAGATGGGTGGGTAGCAGGCATGCATGGGGCGGCTGTTATCTATACTCAGGAATATTATACCGTAGCACACACAAAGGTAGTGACAAATAAAGGTATATAGATATATTTGTTTGCACTCTTCCTCTATCAAAAATCATTAACTTGTTATTTTGCACTTTGCAAATAAACTGCAACTAAATAACACATATTATATCATCTTTCCTTTACTAATAAATGTGTATATATATATATATATATATATATATATATATTTATATTAAACATACCTTGTTATATAAATGTACGCTCCTCCAAGCAGCACAGAAATGATCACAACGGGAATGAATATGGCCAAGGCCATGTTTCCTCCTTCTAATGAGGTCTCTGCGGCTGCTTCTGCCACTAAGGGAAAAAAAATGAGTTTCACAGATATATTCTTCTGGGAGTTCCTGATTTCAGGCTTTTCACAGTTTGCATAGCTGCCTTCAAAAATGAAGGTCTAATTCAAAGTAATGCAGTCTTGGCTTATTTAGGTTGACACCTGGGACTTCTCCCCACCATATAGTAATTAAAAAACGAACAAAAAACAAAACCCCAGCAGTTTTCATAAACAGTGTAAATATACATTTTAAAGGGACATTCAAGTCAACTGCCACCCCTTCGCTTGATGCATTGGTGCTGAAAACCAGAACTAACACTTTTACAATATTTGTGTCAATGTAAACTTGTCAATGTAACTCTGCATGGCATTGATAGGTTGAGGGTGTCGGGTTAACCCAGTGCTTTTAGACTTCATTGTCGTGCGATTTTTGGGTACATCAGAGCAGATGGCTTAGTTTTGCCTCAAACAGGTTTTTGTGAATAAAAAAAGAGAGTGGCATGATTCTACTGGAGGGTGAAAATCATGCAATATGGTGTTTTCCAATCTCACATGAATTAGCCCTCCTTTAGTTTTTGGAAGTATCAAATCACTGCATTAAAAAGAGCTGGGCCAATATGAATAGTCAGAGTAATCAAAGGATGGACTCACTTTGTATGTATGTGTGTATGTAGGCAGGGCTGGACTGGGAAAAAATTAGGCCCGGCATTTTTCAATCAGAGCGGCCTCCTAAGAAGGGGGCGGGGCCAGAGAGCGTGTGTTTTGTCATCACTAATGACAACACGCCCCCTCTCAAAGTGAGCATGTTGGTTCAATGCGCAGAGCCCCGCTGAAGAGCTCTGGCATTAGAAAAAGGCCCTGAATTTGTTCTGCGCAGCGCAAGCAAATGTAATAACATGCTTGTGCTGTGTTTGCTTTTAAATTGTCTCTGGTGTCTCCACAAGTGGGATACCAGAGGACAAATGGGCCAGGAAAGTGCATGGTGCATATGTTTGGAGCCTGCTTGTGGGATTGCGTGTGTGTAGAGTGTGGTGTGGTATTGTGTAAATAGGTCAATTTAATTTGTGTTTGTGGTGTAATGTGTGTGGCTAGGGGCTGTAGAGAGTGTGTGTATAGGGGGCATAGTTTTATAGGGGATGCAGCGAGTGTGTGCATACGGGCTGAAGTGTGTGTGTATAGGTGACGTAGTGTGTGTAGGGGTTGTAGAGAGGGTGTGTTTAGAGAATGTTGTATGTGTTTGCTGACAAGGAATGTAGTGTGTGTGTAGGAGATCTACTGTGTAAAGGACCCAGTGTGTGTGTGTGTGTGTGTGTGTGTGTATAGAGGATAAAGAGTGCATATAGAGTAAGGGATCTAGTGTGTATCTGGAGCGTAATGTGTGTAGTGGTGCAGTGTGAGGGGTGCTGTAGTGTGTGTGTGTGTATGTATATATATATATTTGGACTTATTGTATGTGTGAGGTGCGCAGTGTGTGTATGTAAGAGGGGTGCTGTGTGTGATGGTGTTTTTATCTGCTGTCACATTCTAGGTTTCTAATTTTCTTTGTCTGTTAACTCACTGAGGGTTATTTTATATATATATATATATATATATATATATATGTGTGTACTGTATATGTGTGGGAGTGTGCTGTGTGTGTCTGGGTGCTGTGTGTGTCTGGGGGGTTCTGTGTCTGGGGGGTGCTGTGTGTGTCTGCGCGCTTGTGAGTCTGCTGGGTGCGCTTGTGAGTCTGGGTGCGCTTGTGTGTGTCTGGGTGCTGCTTGTGTGCAAGTCTGGGGGTGCTGTGTGTGTCTGGGGGTGCTGTGTGTGCGTCTGGGGGGTGCTGTGTTTATCTGCGCTGTGTGTATCTGGGGGTGCTGTGTGTGTCTGGGTGCAGTGTGTGTCTGTGGGTGCAGTGTGTGTCTGGGTGCGCTGTGTGTGTCTGGGTGCTGTGTGTGTCTAGGTTCTGTTTGTGTCTGGGGGTTCTGTGTGTGTCTGGGTGCGCTGTGTGTGTCTGGGTGCACTGTGTGTGTCTAGGTTCTGTTTGTGTCTGGGGGTTCTGTGTGTGTCTGGGTGCGCTGTGTGTGTCTGGGTGCGCTGTGTGTGTCTGGTTGCGCTTTGTGTGTCTGGGTGCGCTTTGTGTGCAGTGTGTGTCTGGGTGCTGTGTGTGTCTGGGGGTGCTGTGTGTGTCTGGGGTGCTGTGTGTGTCTGGGGTGCAGTGTGTCTGGTGCGCTTAGTGTCTGGGTGCCGCTTGTGTGTGTGTCTGCGCGCTGTGTCTGGGTGCTGTGTGTGCCTGGGGTGCTGTGTGTGTGTCTAAAGGTGTGTGTGTCTGGGTTCTGTGTGTGTCTAGTGCTGTGTGTGTCTGGGGGAAGTTGTGTGTGTCTGGGGTAGCAAAATCTGGGTGCAGTGTGTGTGTGTCTGGTGCATGTGTGTGTCTGCGCTGTGTGTGTCTAGGTTCTGTTTAGTTCGGGGTTCTGTGTGCGTCTGCGCTGTGTGTGTCTGGGTGCACTGTGTGTGTCTGGGTTCTGTGTGTGTCTGGGTTCTGTGTGTGTCTGGGTTCTGTGTGTGTCTGGGTTCTGTGTGTGTCTGGGTGCGCTGTGTGTGTCTGGGGGTGCTGTGTGTGTCTGGGTGCAGTGTGTGTCTGGGTGCAGTGTGTGTCTGGGTGCAGTGTGTGTCTGGGGGTGCTGTGTGTGTCTGGGGGTGCAGTGTGTGTCTGGGGGTGCAGTATGTGTCTGGGTTCTGTTTGTGTCTGGGGGTGCTGTGTGTGTTGGGGGGGTGCTGTGTGTGTCTGGGTGCAGTGTGTGTCTGTGGGTGCTGTGTGTGTCTGTGGGTGCTGTTTGTGTCTGAGGGTGCTGTTTGTGTCTGGGGGGTGCTTTGTGTGTCTGGGGGTGCTGTGTGTGGCTGGGGGTGCTGTGTGTGGCTGGGGGGTGCTGTGTGTGGCTGGGGGTGCTGTGTCTGGGGGGGTGCTGTGTCTGGGGGCTGTGTCTGGGGGTGCTGTGTGTGTGAG